TTTATTTTTATTTTTATTCTTTAAATTTTTAGGATTGGTAAAATTTTGAAAATTTTATTTTATTTTATTTATTTATTCTATTTATTTAATCCTCCAAGAGTTTTATTTTTTAAATGGTTTTGGTTTTGGGCTTCACAATTTTTCGGGTGCAACCCACCGGGTATGGATCTGGTATATAAAGAAAAAGGCTCCACCGATTTCAGTTCTTCCCTCATTTCATTCACTCTGACTGAAAACCTCTAAAATCCTCTCATATCTCGAAATTTTTTTGTGATTTTTCGTTGAATTGACCTTATCAATCTTACAGGTATGAAGATTCCGACCTGCCTATGTAATTTTTATCCGATTATCGACCGTGAAATCGAAGAAAATCACGAAAAACAATGTTCTCTTTCGGTAAATCGTCGTCTCACACTCTTTCTCGGCCTATTCCCTTCTTCGTCGTCGAGCTTTCGGTCGGTCGAGCCGTTTTCGGTTCGCCGGCTAACCGGCTTTCGGTCAAGCCGAGCCGTTTCCAGCCAAATCGGCTTAGACGGCTTTCGGTCGAAGCCGTGTTCGGTCAAATCGACTCATTTGAGCTGTATTCGGTCCCATATGGCTTTCGGTCTACACTCTGTTCGGTCCTAGGGCTTTCGGTCTGACTGTCTTGACCGAGAACCCATGTTTGTCTAATAAAATTCAAATGAAATGGCCAAAATTAATTGATATATTTGAGAAAATAATTTCTAATTTGTTATTATCAAATGTTTTCTCACTTGGCCAGTTTTTTGCAGATAAAATGGAAAGTCTTAAAGTTCCAGACAGTCATAATGTGTTCATCCTTCTTGACAATCCTCCAGCGGCACATAACGAGTTTAAATCAATGATGCACAGGTTAAGGGAATGCTGCATCTTCACTGCACTAACCTAGAATCCAGTCATCTATCTGAACCTGATCAACGAATTCTGGAGATCTGCAAGTGTCAAGAATGGAGACAATCGATCAATGACAATTGAAGCTTCTGTCAGGGGAAGCAAAATTGTTATCTCTGAGCAATTCATGAAAGATATCTTGAAGATTGATGACAAAGATGCTTACCCGACTGACATCGATCTGAGAATTGTTGATGAGTATCTCGAGAAGATGGGATACGAAGGAGTCTTTCCACCAACCCTAAAGAAGTTGTTACCTCCTTACTGGAGGTTTCTAGCTCACGTGTTCGTGAACTGCATATCTGGACGAAAGGGTGGTTCAGACGAAATATCCTCGAGAAATACTCAGGCAATAGTCGCATTGGCTGCAGGGATTGACTTCAATTTTTCTAAGTTCATCTTGGAGGAAATGGTTACAAATCTCAACAAGAAGTCAAAGGATCAATTCCTGCTCTATCCAAGCCTTCGGACCAACAGCCTATTTCCCGATTTGGTCAAGACAGGAGAGATTCTTGACATGAAAGCCTTCGGACCAAACACTGTGAGCCTAATCAAACAGAACCGTAAAGGGAAAATCATGTTCCAAGGGAAGTACCCTCTCGTGAAATTTGGAAAGTTTTGTGGACTAGCCGACTCATCAGAATCTCATGGGTCCCCGGAACAAGAGTCTACAGATCAAGCATCATCAGATCATGCAAATGTAAATGATGATGTCATCACCGTTTCAGACCATGAGATTGAAGATGTTGCTCCATCCACCATTGTTACTGAAGAGCATGATCTCACAAATGTGGCGGTTCAGAGTGACTTCAGTGAGGGAACTACAGAAGAATTTACTGAGACCGAAGGAGAAGGAGAGGATGAGTATGAGAATCTTGATCTGTCCGGTTACGACAGAGATGATGTTTCGATGCATTTTACTGGACTTGAGCACCCATTGTCAAAGGAAAACCTTGATGACTTCCTCAAAGATATCGATGATGGTGCCAATTCAACATCGGAGATAAGGGAGAAAGCTGACGATCGAGAAGTTGAGCCTCCGGTTACCGTTCAAGTGGCTGATTCTTCAACTCAAATGGACACATCATCAGGGATTCCTCCCCTTGATAATGTGGTTCCTACATCCGAGCCAGTTATAAGTGATTCCCAGACAGTCCTGACCTCCCAACCCCCGATAAAGAGACGCATAATTGATCCAAGGGTGGGAGTAATTTTTCCTGATCAAACTCAAACCACAGAGACTCCTCCATCTACAACATTTGCCCCTTCCTCATCTGTGCCCATTCAAGAGAAATCCCAGCTCTATCCATGAAGCTGGTGGTTTGTCTGCTGGCCTGAGATCGTCTCCTCCAAGGCCTTATCATGATGCTGTCTCTGAGAGACTAGCCATTCATTTGGCCCAGCAATCAAGTCCAACTCACTCCTCACGCGGAAAAGGAATATCCTTTGAGGAAGGTATATGTGGAGATGATGATGCCTCAGTGCCTGAGCTGAGAAAGGAGATTGGTGTGCTGAACCAGAAAAATATCGAGCTTGATATCAAGGTTGTAGACCTTCAAACTGAGAACGCCAAGCTCAATATTCAAGTTGCTGATCTTCTTGAAGATAAAGCTCTGAAGACAAAGCAGATCACCGATCTTCAGACGCATTTTGGTTTGTTGACCGCCAGCTATTATGATTTGAAGAAGAAGTTGGAAGAAGAAGTTGGTGACAAATTCAAATCATCTGTCGATGAGCCAAGGGTCTATCTTCCCAATCAAGACGCTCCCGTAGTTCCACCTCCAACATTCAAGAATACTGACCACCTGTGTAACCCACTGTAACCACGATTGTCGATCGTTTTGACAAAGAACCAGCATAGGCTCCAAATGTCGTGGTGTTAAAACGTGCTAAACTAGCCAAGTCTGCTGAGAAGGGTCAATTTTTGTTCAAGAGGAGCACGGATCAGAATGCTCCTGGGGGTCAACCAGACCTCACCTTTACGGATCTTGGAGAAAATCGCTTCAGGGACGTATATGGTGATAGGTTAGGGATCATATCATGGGGATTCCACGACACTCTGAACATGTGGATCGTAAGAAGGAAGAGTGGAAATACCGAATTGTATAAAGATGCTCACGACTTCCACTCTTGGACCAGGGTTGATCTTACGGAGTTGTCTAAGGCTCCTTTTGCAAATCCATCAAATGAACCCAAGGTGACACAGTTCAAGTTATTTTTGGAAAATCAAGTGCCAAAGGGCTTTCCCTCAATGAAGAGTGCAGAGTCTATCATCAAGATATACCCGAGTGTCATTGATCCCAAAAACCAATTAGCCTCTTCGGTCTGTGATGTGGCCTGCTACTAATCAAGTAAAACAGATTCCTATCCTTCAGAACCATCCAGATGGATCTCTAAAATCCATGCAATACTGGGTGTTTGATGAAACTACAGCTTTCGCTGTCATCAAATTTGAACATGGATGTATTCGTTTATATGACAAGAGGGATCTGCTACAGTTTGGAAGGTGGGATATACATCAGCTTTCTCATCATCAGATCAAGGTGGCTGAAGACCTTTCTGAGTCTGCTGCTAAAGAGTAGACTGCCATGGTTGCTGATATTATTCAAAAGGAGATGTGGAATGGAGCCATGGGAAAGTCAAACGTGCTGGTGATCGATAAAGACTGAGTCCAAGCTAGCACCAAACCAAGGGGGAGATTGAAGGGCCTATATATATATGGTTTGGGCTAGGCAACAATGTATAAATGAGTTAGGGCATTTGACAATGTATTTTGGAGTCTTTTGTGCATGTTTGGTGTTTTCGGTCTAGATGAGCTTTCGGTTAGGGAGTGACCGAAAACAGGCTTTCGGTCAGCCTAACCGAAACCTGTTTTCGGTCCACATTTGTATATATAGGTTGTCAGTAGTATGTTGTTGATCTACAGTTGTTTACTGTGTGGTTTTTGGTCCATTGAGTTGTATCAGACGGTTTCATGTGTTAATCGTATGCAAGCTCAAGTTTCATTCATCTTCTACTCATTTTCTTCTTTATTTTCATTTGCTTGATTGATCATTGGTGAAGATCCTTCCATCAAGGACCTTACAAAAACCCACTTTTTGCAGGAGCGTGGAAGGAAAAATAAAAATGGGTTTTGGCGGAATATGTCATATATATGTATTGAATCCAAGTTGGTTTTGGAGGGATAAGATAAAAGTCATTTTTATCTTCTCCTTTAAATGTTGAATTTCAAAATGTAGTTAGGATAGATAATGTAGAACATTTTAGGATTACTTTTTAAAATTTAAAATTAGGTTAATGTTGATGGTTAGTTTGGAAAAAATGATAACTTTTATAACAGCCCAAGAATATATTATTTACCAAATCGGCTCCATGACTTTACATTTAATACCAAACAGCCCCTACTACATATTGTGCCCAAGAATATATTATTTACCAAATCGGCTCCATGACTTTACATTTAATACCAAACAGCCCCTACTACATATTGTTTATAATGTAAGCATTTTACTTTGAAAAGTGTACAAATTAAGACATTGTATTTTCATTTTCTTATTAAAGACACATTTCATTTGGAAAAGCCATGTACTTTATTCAATTATTTATTTGTCATAGCAGGTATGCTATTTTTGTTTTTTTATAGAATTGCGTGTCAACATAGTTTGTTACGAAGAATAAAAAAAATTATTGTTATAAAATCTTGTTTGTGGAATAACAAACTCAGAGGCTTAAGCCAAAGATTAAGGATATTACCTTTAAAATTAAAACAAATTGACAATAATAGAGTTGGTCAACATAGTTTTTTATTTAAACTTAAAACAAATTAACAATAATAGACTTGGTCAACTTAGTTAGTAACATAAGTTGAGGTGAAAATATATGTAAAAGTTAAAATTCATAAAAAGAATTCAACATAATTTTGAACTTGTCTCAAATAACACGACTACTATCGTGTTATAATTAAATGAAAAACAAACATTATCTTCAAAATGAAAACAACATACTTGTCAAAGAAATCCTTAAGCAAATAATAAAAACTCAAAGAAAAATCGTCAATGATAAATGTCAAATAATCATAACTGCTAAATTTATTCGAGTTTTCCCATTTTTGGAATCTTAAGGGTATGAGGAGCAACACCATCTTTTGAGGAAGACCATTCAAACGATTTAGTGGTGGTAACAATCTCAATAGGGCTTTTCAGTGTGAAGTACACTGCATTCAACAACATTCACCTGTATCAAATTAATAAAACAATGTTAATTAACAACATTAATATTGTCACCGCATCAAGAATAAATGTTTATTAACAATGTTAAATTGCTAAATTATATGAATTTAATTTTACCTTAATAGACTTGTTGATAGGAGTACCATCAGAATGAATACTGTTTTCTTCGTATGCAGGTGATTGTTTGAAAACTACACCAACTACAATTTCATAATTAGTCATCTTATGAACGGTGTATGCGTGATAATTGTTCTCGAGATTAAACTTTGAAATCTGAACTTTAAAAACAAACTTCCTATTAAGCATCGTATTGAACTCGCCGGGGATCTTTTGGCGTCCTTGATCCTAAAGAATATTATAATAAAACATGTGAGTAGTTAATAAATCCCGATTAAAATAAAATGCAATAACAATATACAGTTAACTTGTCGTGTGTACAAATTAATAGAATAGTATAATATAACGCTACATTTGATATCTTTTCCATCAACCAATGATTACCGCGGTGAATAAGATCTTTAACATGACGGTCAAACAATACAAAAGAAGCAGACCCAGTTTCATCTTGAACACGTATTACGACCCTTACCCTAAATATTATTGTATGACACGTTAATGGACAATGAAATAAAAATTGAAACATTGTAATAAAGATTCATGAGACAAGAAGTTTAGAAATGTAAAATTATGAACTTACTTGCCGAATACATCAGAAACTCCTCCACAACCATTACAATTAAATTGTTCATCATCACTATCATCACTGATTTTAGTTACATTTTTTGAACAGTCACGACAATAAAAAGAATATCATCCTTCCTCCAAATCGAAACCGATTATAGTAGCAATGGTAGACAAACCAATTCCCTGATTGGTAAAAATACATATATATATATATATATATATATATATATATATTATATATATATATATATATATAGGACACACACACACACATTAAAAAAATTGTTATATATAATGGAAAAATATGAATAATATTAAGTATACATCATTGTAATCTGGAATATCATCAATGTTTTGGATTTGAAAACGGAAGTAGTAATCTTCTGGCTTGGCCACAACAGTTTTTGTGTTAAGTTGTGTAGTACTAATGGAAGACTCAACGTTCAAATCGATATCAGCAATGCTACATATAAGAAGGAAAAATGAAGAAGATCAATAATAATAATAATTACTGATTAAGAATAAGCAAAAATAAAACAGTAAATAATTATATCCTAGTCATCAAATACATACGCCTTTTTAAATTATGAAATATGATGCATAACATCATTAATATGCAATCTCGACCCAAATAAATAGTTACCGACTTGTGGCTGACATATAAATAGCAATTGAAGTAATAGATTATTTCATATTATAAATAAAATATTAATGTAATGAGCATAGACATCTAAAAATAATTATTCTTACCAGCCCAAGTCTTGAGCTTTGTCATACGTAGGAGGATGATCACAGGAGCATTTTCATTTTGATGTTCAGATTTGTAGCGGTTCAACTTCAATGCAAAACCATCCTATAATTGATTGTTTGGATTATATGAATAAAATATTAAACATTATAAATTAATGAAAAATAAAGAAAAGTACCTCAGATCTTGTGCAACAATACTCATTAGCCTTATTTCCCTTGCATTATCATTAATCACTCTAATGGGTTCAGTAGATACAACTTGACCAATAAAATCTACAAAAAGTAAATTTGAATCAATTATTATAATATAAATTGGTTAAAAAAATATATAATATATTAAATGCAAAACTGGTAAGGGAAAAAATCTCACCAAATGCAACACGAGTGTCAAAATTTCTGGCTGTCAGATCATAAAAACTCACAAAAATAAAAGGATCGATACCAAAGTTAGTAATTTGCCTTACAGCTCCTTCTTCCAGGAGGGCTTGAAATGCATTTATGAGATTTTTTTGATTGTTGCATGTATTCTAGTGCCCTGTAGGTGATAAATAATATTATTATATGAAACAAAAATAAAACATTTGTTTTTTTTCATATTATTTTAATCTTACCTCCTGGTCCATTAAAATCATGTCCAAGCTGATGACCATGTTTGGGTTGTTTTTCTATGTCTGTTTCCAAATCATGACAACTTGAACACGAATATTCCATGATTCTTTGGAGGCATCTATGTCAGCCAACTTATCAATGACGATTTCACTGTCACTGTTATGTGCCATTTCGCTTGTGTTATGAGAAATAGAAAAGTATTAGAGATAATTATGAGATATAGTGAAAAAAGTAATTCAAAGATTCACAAGGTTTTTGTTTAATGTAAATATGATGTTGTTCAATTAACATAGACACTCTTGGTTGGCATACTTAACCATGAAAAAAAAAATAAACATTAATTGTATTTTGCAAAATAATAGTTGGCTGCAATTATGGATTAATGGAAGTAGGATGACATCAAATCAAAATATACATAGTATGTTGATATATTTCATAGAAAACAACAAAAAAAAAAAAAAATGAGTATGAACACTTATCATAGAGAAGGCTATAGAAAGGAAGAAGTATTGATAAACAATGAAATGCGTACCTTTTTGCCTTTGATTAACCAAGCTAACAATTGTTTACTGCTATTGAAGGCTGTAGAAAGGAAGACGTATTGATTTAGTATCGTGAATATCAATATAAACGAAGAGGTAAAAACATAGATAAAACACAATAAAAACCCACTTTTTGCAGGAGCGTGGAAGAAAAAATAAAAATAGGTTTTGGCGTAATATGTCATATATATGTATTGAATCCAAGTTGGTTTTGGAGGGATAAGATAAAAGTCATTTTTATCTTATCCCTTAAATGTTGAATTTCAAAATGTAGTTAGGATAGATAATGTAGAATATTTTTAGTATTATTTTTTAAAATTTAAAATTAGGATAATGTTGATGGTTAGTTAAGTTCCCGTCTTTGGTGGCTGATTTTTCGATTTGATTATGAGAAGTAATTATGATAGACGGAAATAAATAGTGAATTGTTTTGTTAGGATCACATCACCAGAAATATTAAGAACGATATAAGGGTTGAAATCAATCAAAAAAATCTAATAAATAGTTATGATTGTTGAATGTGACATGAGGTTTCTGTTTTAATATATATATAAAGATTAACATCATAAATAATATTTTTGACGGTCGATGTTAGCGTTGCAACGTCAAAAACCCTTCAATTAGTATTGTTTATTGTCAGGCTTGAAAAGATGAATGTGAACATATTATTAAATTATAAAATAGATCCACGTCCAACAGTGATATCCTTTAATTTTATAATTTATCTATATAATCTAAATATTGAATATAAACATTTTTTGCATTTCATTTTATATCTAATTATATCCCATCGATTGAGATTACTCTGTACCAAATCAACCTTTTTATGGGATATATACCTACAAATATATGCCAAAAAATAGCGGGCTGAGATTAAGCAATCCCATAATTTAGACAGAACGCAATCAATCGTAAAAGTGTAATATTTATAATTATTTGACTATTGTGTGTATATATATATCTTCCGTGCCCTAACTAACTAATACAAAAATTCAATCTCCTGCAAATAAAATGGCTGACGATCATGATGTTGATAACACTGTAATCCCTTCATCTTCTGCAGAGGAAGACAGTCTCTTCCCTAACCAGTCGCCTATGATACCCAAGTCCCGGAAGAGGGAAGCAACCAGTTGATGAAATATACGAATCCGAAAAAGGAGAAGTTCAAGAGGACATGGAGTGCCAACAAGAAACCAGTGTCATTAAAAAGCTTTGGAGTGAAAAGGATGAGATTACATTACTTGAAACTTTGAAGCAAATAAGTAACAAGTCTGATATGAACATGTTATATGAGATTGTAAAGCCGTATTTGGAAGAAGAGTTTTCGGAAGACCAGGTGAGCGAAAAGGTCAGTTGGTTCAAGACTAATTTCATGAACAATAATTCAGAAGATGCATTGCAAGGAACCAGCAGCAGCCATGATGCCAAGATTCGAGAGCTCTACAAAGAGATTTGGGGTGAGAGTGAAACAGCAGTGGTTGGCCCTCATGGTATGACCGGAAAAGAGTTTCAGGCACTATATCCACGATTCAGTGCAATTATAGAAGATCTGCCCCCGTATAACAAAATATCAGACGAAGGGAAAGCTGTGATAACAGCTTGCATGCTCAATATGCAGTCTCGAATGGAGTTTGAAGAAATCGAAGATATATTGATGAATTACTATGCACGGCAGGTCAAGCGTGCCGAAATACGTCTGCTACTGTGTAAGAAACTGTCCGAGTTACTTCAAAAGGGCACAAAGGCTTATCATCAGACACATCAAGATTAGGGTGCATGGGTTAAAATGCAAGCTTCACAATTGCTGGATATATGAATGGATCGAATAATATATGTACGTACTGGGGGAGAATTTAAGGTTTTTTTTAAATTTTATCTTGTTTTATTTGGTTTGCCACTCTATCAATATATGTAGAATAAGAAGAACTTGTGATGAATAAGTAGTTGGATTAGACAAATATTTTAATTGTAAAATCAGAAAGACAGGAAGAAAATCTCGTTCTATCTTATTCAAAGTAAAACCGGATATGAATTCTGAATAAATTCAAACTCCTATAAACTAGGAAAGATAAACTAGGAAACAAAAGATCTGAAGATCTAAAGATAAACACTAAATAAGATAATAACTATCTCTATACTCCCTCTCAAGTTGGAGTGTGTAAATCACGAACACCCAACTTGCCACGAAGAAATCGGAAACGACCCGCACCAAGAGCTTTAGTGAAGATATCAGCCGTTTGAAATTCAGAACGAACAGCGCAAGTTTTTATCTCACCACTATTGATTCTTTCTCGAACAAAATATCAATCCATCTCAACATGTTTTGTCATTTCGTGATAAACTAGATTAGCTGCTATATGTCTGGCTGCTTCATTGTCACACATGAGAGGAGTAGGGTTAGTTTGCTTAGCATCTAGATCAAGTAACAACCATCTTAACCATAAAACTTCACATATTGTGCTTGCCATTGACCTATACTCGGCTTCAACCGAAGATCTTGAACTATCGTTTGCTTCTTTGTCCTCCATGATACAGGTGACCCTCCCAAGCGAATGAAATATCCTGTGCACGATCTTCTTGTGGTGGGACAACTTAGCCAACTTGCATCACAATACGAAACAAGATCTAAACTTCCGGTAGAATTAAGAAACAATCCTTGTCCAGGAGTGGCCTTTAAGTAACGAAGTACTCTATATGCAGCATCCATGTGAGGCTTTCGTGGGTTGCTCAAAAATTGACTTAATTGATTTACCGCAAAGGTAATATCCGGACGTGTGACTGTGAGATAAAGAAGACGTCCAACCAGTCTCCGATAACGAGAAGCATCAACTTCAGGTGTTTCATCATCTTTCCGAAGCTTTATGTTTTGTTCCATTGGAAATGCACTTGGTTTGCATGCAGTAACACCGCAGTCTTCTAGAATATCCAACGTGTATTTCCGTTGACTAATCACAAAACCTTCCTTTGAGCGAGCAACTTCAATACCAAGAAAGTACTTGAGTGGACCCAAATCTTTAATGCTAAAGAAATTTTGAAGATGAATTTTTACCTCATCAATTTTATTGATATCATTGCCCATTAGTAAGATGTCATCGACATATATAAGAGCAACAACATGAACTGATTGTTGTTTGAATACAAACATGGAATGATCTGCTTTGCTCTGTTTAAAATCGATCTCTATAAGGGCTTTTGGTGAACTTTTGGTACCAGTTTTTGGAAGCTTGACAAAGACCATAAATGGACTTGTGTAGTTTGCAAACCCGCTTCTCGTTTTTGTCACAAAATCCTTGAGGAATCTTCATGTAAATATCTTCCTCTAGATCTCCATGTAGAAACACATTATTCACATCCATTTGATGTACTTCCCACCCTTTCTTTGCAGCTACAGCCAAAGCATATCGAACAGTAACAAGCTTTGCCACGGGTGCAAAAGTTTCATGGAAATCTATACCCTCAACTTGGGTGTAACCTTTTGCTACTAATCTGGCTTTAAATCTTTCAATTTCTCATGTAGGCTTATATTTTATTTTGTAGACCCACTTGGAGTCGATAGCCCTTTTTCCTGGTGGGAGCTCCATCAAAGACCAAGTACCATTTTCTTCAAGAGCCGTTATCTCTTTCTTCATTGCTTCAATCCATCTTGGGTATTTCAAAGCTTGAGAAAAGTCTTTTGGTTCATCATTTGAAGTGATTGACGCTAAGAAGGCCTGATGAGTTTTAGAAGAAAGCTTATTATAAGAAACAAGTTAGCAAGGATGTACCGGAAGGCTAGCTGTTGTTGAAGAGCCTGTAGTGGGGATGGTTGTTGAGCTATCAAGCGATGGAGGTAATAAAACTCCGAAGTCTTCAAGATGTTTGGGTTTAGAACGAACACGAGTACTGTAACATCCAGATTTCCAGAGACATGATGGTGTATGTTAATCTTGAGATTTGAGGAGGGACTCGACGAGTTGAGGGACCAACTCGCCGAGTCGAATCAAGATTGCCGCGTGGATTTAATGAGCGGACTCGACGAGTCCAAGGATGGACTCGCCGAGTAGGTACTGGGCAGAGAAAACCCTATGTTCCGGGGTTGGAGCCTATTTAAGGAACTTATGACCTTGGGTGCGCCTCATATCTCCTGTGAGAAACCCTAAATCGCCATTGGAGCCAAGGAAGAGTTCTTGTGATGAAATCAAGTAATTTTGGTGTGGTTTTTCAAATGAAGTGAAGGGATTCAGCTTGAAGGACCAAAGGAGGTTATTATTCTAAGACATCTAAGCAAGGATCTCCATTGGGAGATAGTATTTCGCCCCTTCTTTCTGTTTTGTGTAAAATCCTTGAATCTAGGGTTTTCTTTACCCTTTCTTGGATTGTATATGATGCATATGAGTGTTGGGTTTTGAGCATTCTAACACTCCTATGGTGTACATGCAACCCTATAAACCTTGGATCTATGTTTTCTCTATTATACATGCAAATATTAACTATTCCAAGGTTTCATCCTAACTAGCATATTATGAGGCACCTATATTACAAAGTTCTAGTTAGATGACATACCTTTTGATGTAGCTTGATGTCTTCAATCTTTAAGAGCGTAGCCCCAATAGTGTGGAAGCCTCAAATGGAATCACAAATCACCAAAACACCTTGGAAGACCTTGAGAGAATATGTATGCACACTAAAATCGGCCCACTCTTATTTTCACACACTTGTGCCAATTTTGTGAGCCAAGGACCCCTTTATATATTATGGAGGATTAGGGTTACATCCATGTAAACCCTAATACCCATGACCTTTCATTTACATAGGATCCATGGGTTAAAAGCTCCATGGACCATCCATGAAAGCTTAGCCCAACCTAAATGAACTTGGCCCATTCCATATATATAAGAGTCCATATTTAATTAGTTCTTTTTGATCACTCAATTAATTCTAAGTTAATTCTTGATCAATACTAATTAAATAATATGATTCCATATTAATATATTAGAACTTATAATATATTAATATAAATCATAAATATACTATTCTCAAAAGACTATCCATATAAATTGTGTTGGTGAAGTGCAACCCAAATGGACCATGCCGGGTCGGGTCAAGTACATACCAAATATAGTTATGGACTTAGACATTAATCCAACAGTCTCCCACTTCGATAAGTCTAAAACTATTATTGAGTATGACTTCAAAACCTAACTGGCAATCGTAGCTCTTAAAGCCGCTGTTGAACTCTGACCTTGTCAATGACTTGTCCTTTAGATAAGGGATCATATATTCCTCCATTCTAGATATCATATGGACTGAGACATGGATTATAATCATTCTCTCTGTCCATTTGTTGTTTCCCGATTTTCGATTTATGATGACTGACTGATTGAACAAATCAAATCAGTCCTGGCTTGGCCAAGCACTCACATGTGTCATCGCTAAATCATCGAGGGGCCCACATATATCGCTTTTATCCCGAAGGTAAAAGGAATGGATAAACTTCGACTCATATGGCTTGTTCTACTAGTTGTTGAATCATACACAAAGGCACGTTTTATAACATCGAGTTACCAAATGCGTTTTCGTGCAATCAATGTATAACCAACTCATAGTAACAACTCATATCTCTAGGTTTGAAGAATATAAGATATTATCGTCTCATGATCACTCGTGATAAAATCCATGAAGTGATTCAAATGAGCGCGGGTTGAATCCAATACTCAGAACTTATGAGCACTCATGAGTGTTGTAGCACCACTTTGTCCACCAACTTGGACCTCTACAAACCAACCCATGACAGTCTTGATTCATATCTACTTCCAACATATGACCGACTGTGGATGGTTTGAATAACTTAATCATTCAGGAAGAGCGACTTAGTTATTCTGGAAGTCAAAATATGCAAAGTGAAACATAAGAATAAATGAATCAAATATGGTATCAAACCCTATGAATATAAATAAACACGTTTATTTATCACCATACTGATTACTCATTATTCATTGTTTCGGTTTTATCAACTTTATACTTGAATTAAAAACACTAGTTGTCCCATGCTCCAAGCATGTACACTATGTTTTTTTAAACAATATCTTTGCCATACACCAAGTATGCACTCTATGTTTGTCTATGATCCTTACTTTGTGAAATAAACCAATTGAACATAATTTCAATGATTCTAATTTCACACTCCCAAATCTTTATCGAAAAATGTGAGAATTTCAAATTCCTATCATTTATCGAAATCTGTTTTGATTTTAAACTTATATGTACTGACCCTCCTGTAATGAATATGTACAAAGTCACAAAGACTTGTCAACAGTCATTATAAGGTATTCCAATGGAGATCAACTCCATGGAAACTAAGTCTCATATTCAAAGTACATTGCTTTGGACATGCTTCTTGCATGAAGTTTTCTAATCTTACACAAATAACTTCCACCTATGGAGACAACTCCATATTCTCATTTTGACTATCACTTCTGAATAAGAGATGCCTCTTTTCAGAATATGTCAATATGGTCCTTTCAAAATTAGCACTATACTTCGAACTGTCCCTGAGCAACCAATCTTTGGTAAACCTCAGATTGTCCTCGACAATTGCTTAATCATTTTAGTCATATCCAATTCTAGACCTTTTCCCTTCTTAATGCCTCTGGGCATTTGGAAAAATTTAGAAATGACAAATATTATAGCACATGCAATCGATCCTGTACCCAAAGCAAATGGTACACGATTCATGATGTCTCATATAAAGACATGATTCTAGATCAGTCTTTTGCTACAATATTTTTATTT